TCTTCCATAGGTTTGTGCAGACTTGCATCAAAATGGTACAGGATGCAAAAGATTTTTCTTTAAAAACGTCTACTTGATAGCATTTTGTGTGTCGTGGCTAAAAATAGCTTCAAAGTGCCAAGATAATTTTTAGACGTAAGTTGGGTGCAGTGATGGCAGAAACTACATGCATTACTTTAATATAGTAGACTGAAGTGCATAAAAAACACACTTTTAAATGAAGATATCCTACTATGTACGTGTTGAGTATTAATCTCAACAACTTTCACATTCCAGAATCCACTGTTTTAGACCTTAAATGCATTTTGTTGTGTACTTGAAGTCTCTGTGGTGCAAAAAAGCTGACTTTAGTCTCTCCTGGTGCTGCAAAGATGTCTTTATATTCTCTTTGAGTCATAATATTCAACCTGGACCCCATTTCAACAATATAAATGTGAAAATAAAAGCATGCTATGTCTCCTTTAAGCTATTTTTTTTTTCAGAGTAATTAGCCGTGGTGGTCATCTTGAATCAGACTGACTCTAAAAGTTAGTTAGTTGTAGATGTACACTCAGAGATTGGTTTCTCGAGGTTCTATTAAAATCTGTTGAGTAGTGTATGAAATATTTTGCTAACTATCAGAGAAACTGTTGACTCAAAGAGTTATTGCCGGTTTTAGGTCTGGCAGAGCTGAGAGTATGACTGTCAGCTACTGTCAAACCAAAAGTTAGCTTAGTATTTAAAAAACTGACTGAGTTATAGAAGAAAAGAAAACTGCTCATTGGTTGTATTTTGTCATCAGAGTGTGGGACACCACACTCAGCATTCATATAAAGCTGGCTTCAGAGATGAGAATGTGTCACTCTTTTTCCTGTCTCTGCTTATTATCTGCTTCAGTCTTTTGTTGTCATTGTAACTGATTTTTATATGACTGAGAGYCTTAATTTAATGTCAAACTTGTGAGTATTTAAGGTTGTGAACCTTTCTGGTTCCTCAGTGCAACAATGATCTTTTGTCACTCACAGACTCCTCTTTATAACATCTATGATGTCAAACATCTGGAAAATGTGCATTTATAGTATTAAACATCATGAAAGTTGCTAAGAATGCTGAGGACACCATGACTCAGCACTCTGCTGCTGCTGCTGTTCTGATTTGAAGACATTTAGCTCCTGTCATAATCAGAGACTAAATCCCTGCCTTATCGCCGACCGGGTGCCGGGGCCACGGCTTTGTTTAATTGCCACAAGCTGAACCGTCGGAGCTGCGTTTCCCTCCGTGTTTACCCCCACTGAGGCTTACAGCTGATAATGGAATTACTCTGAGTCCCCGTCGGAGGGAGGGGGAGAACAGAGAGGAGGCAGTCACAGGCAACAGAGGAGAAGAATCGAAGGGGAGAGGATGGATGGTGTGCGTTTGACTTAAAAACCAGGGGAAAAAAGGGGTGAAATGATGTGATGCACAAAAAAGACGAGGGAGACGAAGGTTTCAGAGTCATGTCCAGTTGCTGAGAGACAACCCTGCAGTGTTGCTGTCTTACTGTTTACTCCTGCGTGACGTATTACATGAAGGAGGATGAATTATGACGCCGGAAGGAGGCAGAGTCAAATTTTTAAAAARTGTGTGTTTGAGAGAATCTGACGGGAAGGCTTCATAGGCTTGAGGAGAAAAGGAGGATATAAAGGAAGAAAGATGATTTTAAAAGACCTAAAATAGAAACATTAAATAAAAAATGCTAACACATTTTCTGACTTCATTTTCAGACTGAATGGATGTAATTGTGTGTTCTGTTCAGCAGAATGTGTTATAATCACAGATGTTTTAAAAACATCAGTCATTAATGGTGGAAAGACCGACAGCAGGAAACATCAGGGTTTTTCCATTCTTAACATTGTGGAGTGTTTTGAAATTAAACTACACATATCTGGTGTAGTTTCATGTTTCAGCAGATGTTTATGAAGTGTTTATTTTTTATATTTTAAGAACAATTTATGTGTTGTAAATAGCTCTACGAGGTCTAAGTCTGAAAAGTAAAGGATTAGCAAACAGCTAGTYGGAACAAGACCCAAAAAAATTGCTGTTGTCCTAAAACAACTTCAATATAAACAGTTTTAGAATAAATCTTGTTATTTTATGCTTTTACATTTATCTATCTATTTATTTATTTATTTATTTATTTATTTATTTATAGTATAATTTTTGTATTTTCTTTTGGTTATTTACATAGAAATGTTTTGTTATTTGCTAGCTCATATAGGTAACATTTCAAGTATAGCCTGGGACACTTCCAGCCAGGATATTGCTATTTTTACCAGAAAAAAAATAAACATCTAATGTAAAACTGACAGGAGTGTAAATATTTATAAACCGGTTTTTACATAGCATTGAACTAATCTGCTGCTCCCCAAATTTTAAAACTACACTGCAAAAATTAGCCATCAAAAATAAATGATAAAATACTAGATTATAGTCAGATTCTTCTCAAATTAAGTGCAATATTCTGCCATTGCAGCACGTGATAAGACTTCTTGAAATAAGAAACATTTCTTGGCTAACAAGATTATTAATCTAACACATTCTGTTCCTGTTTAGCATATCAGACAAAACAAATTCAAAACTAATTTTTAGTTGGATATGAGTTTGTAAGGCTTGGTTAGATCTTTTGCAGTGTAATTTCTGTTTCTTCTGATTGAGGTGAATTAAAAGGGCTTTCTACAACAGGATATCAAGATATCAATTGTTCAAAATCTTTCCAAAGAATTCTACAAATGACCAGGGGTCTCATTTATAAAGGATTGCATGGAAACCATACTAAAAGTGAACGTATGGCAAAAAAAAAAAAAAAAATTCAGATTTATGACCCCCGCACGCGAAGCATAAGCGGGAGTCATGTTGTTTTCGTACTGTTTTTTTTCCTCCGGAGATTTTTGGTCAACCGTAGCACAAAAACAGCTGCACCAATTAACATGAAATTTGGCAGGGCTGTAGATGAGTCTGACCTACACTGCGCCAGCCAACGGTTTTACAATAGACCCCATATTTGAAGAGGGGGCTCCTTTCAAAGTGGGGGTGTCAGGACATGCAAAAATGCTAATAACTCAGAAACTGTTCAACATAAAAGCTTCATATTTCTTTTATTGTTTAGCTCTGATGAAGCTCTATCCATCAGGCCCACCAATCAGTGCCCCCCCACCCCCCGGACCCCCGATTATCTGAAAAAGGGGTAACTGAACATACAAAAATGGTTATAGCTCAAAAACTATTAAACATAGGAGCTTCAGATTTMTTTTRKTGTTTAGCTCTGATGAGGGGCTATCCATCAGGTCCAACACCCCCCCACCCCCACCCACCCAAAAAAACACCCCCACCCAAACCACTACAAATTTGGGATGCACCTATAGCAGGGGTGCCCAAACATTTTCCCTGAGAGGGCCAAAATTAAAATCAATCTGAGGGTGGTGGGCCAAATGCAATGGTATAAAACATGAAATGCAAATATTTCAAGTAAAGTTGTATTTTTTACGATTAAGCTAGCAGCCAGTGTGGTTGCCCACATTTTCTTGTTTGTTTCTTTGTTTGTTTCAGCCCATGGACATGGAGAAAATTCAACGTATGCTCGGGCAGAAAAGGCTCATGGGACTTTTCATAATTTAAAATTTGAGTATATGTGGTCTTATAAGGTGTGCAAATCTAGATATGGACTTCAATCTCATAAATGTCTCTTGAAGTTACTTGTATTTTAAGTTTAATCTTAACAAAATTCAAAGATAAAGTGAGCACTATAAGTTAAGACTATGTGACTACAGCTCCTTGTACATATAGTTGGACCAATGTTTGAAAAGTATTTCTACATAAGACAGACGATTACAACCTAGTAACCAGGATAACTGCTGGTGGGCCAAATCAAATGGCTTGGCGGGCCAAATTTGGCCCGCGGGCCCCACTTTGGGCACCTCTGACCTATAGCATGACGTTTATTACAAATAAAGACTTCTGAGTTATGGTGCATTTGTGCATGCGGGGGTCATTATGTTACCACCATGCGGTATCTAGTTTTGATTTGATGCTTGTCAGTAAATATTATCATAACAGACAATTTTTTTTTGCCAGRCAACCCATGCAATTAATTATTTTTCAATTGTCAGAAGCCAACAACTGAAAAGCTAATATTTATATTCAGTACTACACAGAAATCTGGCCATGATAAATCATTTACGTTGACAGTCCGCCCATTCTACTTGTACCACAGAGGCCAGTCTTCTAATGAATGCATGATTTTGTAACGCAATGTGTTTGAATGCAGTTAAAGGATATTTATCTCAAATCAGACATTTAGCTTTTGTTTCTTTAGCAACTGATTAAGCAGCAAAGACACTTTTAACTCACTGGAATGAAATCAAAATACGATAAAATCAATCAAAATTCGGAATCAAAATACAATAAAATTGCTTGCCATATAATATGATAAAATTGCTTGCCATGTGATTCCAACACTGGTGCACGCAAATGTTTTGATTGGACTTAATGACTGTATGTTTGTTCTGAGGGAGAGAAAAAATATTTCTTGTGCCATAAATCTGGTTTATTTGCTTCTGAGTCAAATTTGATTGATGCGTCCTCCAGACGGTTCAAGTTAATGAGGTATTTTTGACATTTCATTGACTTGCAGTATTCAAAACACAGTTTGTGGATCTAATTAGGAGTGAGAAGGTACTGTATGGCTGACACAAGCTTAACCACTAGCTCATTAAAATGCCTGGCATACTTAAACATATTCCACACTGTCAATTTAATTAAGGCCAGTGTGCTCCATTCTATTCCTCCTGGTCCACTGCATACTTTATTTGCTTTTTTTTAAAGCTGCTAAGTCAAACAGGTTGCTTCAACTGAATTTAGATGTAGACTGATAAACAGTAAATAAAAACAGCGAGTTTGTGTTGTCAAACAGGATACTTTAAACTTTCATTGATCAGTTTCATGTTTATCTCTTTCCATTTTCCCTCTTTATTTTTTCACATCAGTCTGTTCGCAGTACTCAAGAGGCGTCTTTGCCATCTTTGGACTCTATGACAAACGGTCAGTGAACACGCTGACGTCGTTTTGCGGGGCCCTGCACATCAGCCTGGTGACACCCAGCTTCCCCACCGAGGGGGAGGGACAATTCACACTTCAGCTTCGACCATCTATCAGAGGAGCCTTACTGTCCTTGCTGGACAAATACGAATGGAAYCAATTTGTCTTCCTGTATGACACAGACAGAGGTAAGGACACGGGGACAGATTTCTGTAACAACGTCTAATTGGCTGAATTGTTTTGTCTTTATTTTTGGCTCTGTATAAGGGTTGGCTGAGGATTCATGTTAGAATGTACACACGCTTCCAAAAGCTTTAAGCACCCAGGCTTAGTGGTGGAAAATGAAGCTACACATGTTGAAAGGTCACATGACTCTATTGCAAGGATTACAAAATTAGATCAAATGAATAACAGAGTGTCTTGGTCCCCAGTTATTAGGGTCTAGCCCCCACACCCAGAAAACAAGCAGTGATTTGGTGTACAAAGGAGTCATACAGCCATGCTTTTCTGCTCTGGTGTCTACATGAACCTGTAGTTCAACGGATGCCAATCATCAAGATGCAGTGTGGGATAGAACACGGTGCTGGAAAGAGTTCATCATCTGTGTTTGAATGTCAGGCACAGATGTCATAGGGATGGTAAAATGGTAAATGGTACTGAACTTATAGAGCGCTTTTCAAGTCCCTCCTGACCCCAAAGTGCTTTACACTAAAAGACATTCACCCATTCACACTCACATTCACACACTGATGATGGCAAACTACATTGTAGCCACAGCTGCCCTGGGGCACACTGACAGAGGTGGGGCTGCCACACACCGGCRCCACTGGACCCTCTGACCACCATCAGTAGGCAAGGTGGGTGAAGTGTCTTGCCTAAGGACACAACGACTGAGACAGTTGGACGGGGGATCGAACCAGCGACCTTCCGGTTCCAGGATGACTCCCGTAACCACTCCGCCACAGCCGCCCCATATCTGTAACTTTTTTTAACACAACTCGATGGTTGTCCCACAGTACGGTCTGTCTTGAGCGACCAGAACCTTCACAGCATGTGTGACTTCTTCTTGTGTACCCATTGGCTCCAACATTACAACCCAGTGTGTCACCTTTCAAACTCCATCATGTGCTGAGGTGGKCTACAGGGCAACCTTAGTATTAACCTTCTGTTATGATGGTAAAACACCATACGTCTGTAAGAAGGAATGAAGGAATTTATTTCAGACATTCTGCCAAAAAAAGACAAAAAAGCATGACAGCAATGAATTAACCAAATTTTGCTAAAATGGTACAATTATAACGAGACTGGTTAAAATAAATGTTTAAATGAACTGATCAACTAAAGCAGTGCTTTTCAAACCTGGTCCTCAAGGCACACTGCCCTGCATGTTTTAGACGTTTCCCTGCTTCAACACAGCTGATTACAATTGGTAACTGATTGCAGTTCAACAAAAGCCTGTTAATCATCTGAATCAGGTGTGTCTTTTTTTGTCATGTGGTTCACACTCCTTACCAGTTGGTGGTGGTAATGCTTACCTAACGTTTCTTGCCAACMGCCATTAAAATTCAACAAGAAGAAAAAGAAGAATTACGTGTGTCGAAGCAGGGAAACATCTAAAACATGCAGGGCAGTTCACCTTGAGGACCATGGTTGAAAAACACAAAAGTGTTAACTTTTTGTTTTCTAAAAAGTAATAGAAACCTRAGCAACAGTGACATCCCAACCAACAAATTGAAGGAACATGTGGGACAATGTAAGGAAGTTAATATTGCATCTTAGGCACTGTAAATACTTCACAAACAGTATATATTTGATCAGAATGCAGTTTCCCCAGCTACAGCCATCAGCCTGTATACACTTTTGTATTCCCTTCTAGTAACCTGGAGTACAGATTTGTTATTTTGGAAATCTTTCTTTCTTTCTTTCTTTCTTTCTTTCTTTCTTTCTTTCTTTCTTTCTTTCTTTCTTTCTTTCTTTCTTTCTTTCTTTCTTTC